TTTGTGGGAATCCCACAGTAGTGCACGTGGTGGGAAATCGGTGTAAATCGGTATATGACGACACTCTATACGGCTATTACGACTGTAACTCCCTATTTTCGTTCATGATTGCAAAGGTGGAACGTTGTTAGCACAATAATACAATAAATAAGTTAAAAAAAATGGAATTCGGTAAAAAACGAAGTCATCTGCATTTATCAGAAAGCAGTTGCAGTTCTGATGATAATGGGGGAAGTAATAAGGAACAAAATGCTAATTTATCTGGAAATAGCGACAGTTCAGATGATTATATTCCCAATACCAACACAGATGAGAGTAGTGGTAAGTACAAAATATTTACATAATGTGTATATACATAGATAGCAAATAACAAAATCCTATGTACATATAATATGTATATTGTATAATTGGTGCAACACGAATATCACTTCTAGTAAAGTTATGCATGCATTTTCTGAATTATTTTATTTTATCAAATCAGACCTCAGATTTCACTGCCTGTCGCGTTACAATGACTAAGGTAGAGTTGGTTTTATCAAAAAAAATTTGTGTTTCATTGAATATTGAATTTGTGTCTAACTTTTATTTATATTTTAGATAGTACTGATGATAATGGTGATGAACTAAGGCAATTACCAGCAATACAAAATTCCAGCAGTGATTCTGAAGAGATTGAAAATATAGATGAGGAAGTAAATTATGAGGAAAATTGGGTTGAAAATGTGATACCAATTCCCAAATTTAATTTCGATAGAGATTTAGCGGGTGTTAAACTTGATTTACCAGAAAATGTCACACCTGTTCAAATTTTTGAAATGCTTTGGACCGAGGAAATCATGAATATGATATTACAATCCACCAATAGATATGGCAACAAACTTACGAGAGAGTCCAGACCTCACAGAAAATATAGTAGAAAAAGTGCGTGGAAAAACGTGGACCTAAGGGTGCTAACCTTACCTAAGATTAGTAAGAGCAAAAATAATAATAGATAACAAATTAGAAAGAAACAAACTAATCTTGCAAAAACGAACCCTAACTACTAAAGAGCTTGGGCAAAACAGTACCAACTACCAGAAATATCTTGAGTCTAGTCTAGAGCCAATGGAACAGCTAAAAGAAAAAGACATAAATAATTTGGAAGAAACGATAAGAACGAGTATAATTTCTGCGATCAAAAAAACCCATACGATACCGAAACCGAAAGATAATAAATTGAAGACAGAAACAAAACAGATGATTAGGGACAGAAGCCGCATGGATCGAAATTCACCAGAATATAAGGAACTTAATAAGGCAATAAGAACAAGAATTAGACAAGACATCAGGGACAACAACACCGAAAAAATCGAAAACATTATAGAGAAAAACAAGAATATGAAAGTGTTAAAAACGCTAAATAGCAAAGGCCGACAACAAATACACCAAATAAAGGATAAAAATGGAATCATTAGAAACGACAAAAATCAGATAATAAACATTGTCGAAGATTATTATACAGAATTATACTCGTCCAGCGTAGCAAAACCTGAAACCCATGATATGGAACGAAGAATACTAAATGTAGGATCTGAAACACTACCAGAAATTACTACCGAGGAAGTTGTAAATGCCTTAAAGCAAATGAAAAATGGAAAATCTCCTGGAGACGACGGAATAACAAAAGAGATGATTACAGCTGGAGGTCAAACTACTATGGAGGCAGTTAAAATCTTACTGAACAAGTGCCTATTCGGGGGTGCTATTCCAACCTCTTGGCAAAACGCGCAGGTACTTTTACTACACAAGAAAGGAGACAAACACAAACTCGAAAATTACAGACCAATAAGCCTGTTACCACATCCATACAAACTGCTTACCAAAATAATTACCAACAGACTATCAAACAAATTTGATAGTTACCAGCCTGTTGAACAAGCGGGTTTCCGCAAAGGTTATAGTACAATAGAACACCTACAGACAATAAGGACACTTATTGAAAAATGTAACGAATACAATGAACCTCTTCATTTGGCATTTGTGGATTACAATAAGGCATTCGATTCCATAGAATTCTGGGCGGTATTAGACGGAATGAATAACGCAAGGATAGATTCCAGATATAGAATGCTCCTAAAATACATATACGACAATGCAACTATGCAAATAAATGTAGCAGAAGGCCTAACAACAAACAAAATAAGATCAGAAAGAGGTGTTCGACAGGGAGACACCATATCTCCAAAATTATTTACTCTTGCATTAGAAGATGTGTTCAAGAAGTTAAATTGGGAACAACTCGGAATTAAAATTGATGGCAGGTTTTTAAGCCATCTAAGATTTGCCGATGACATAGTACTCATAAGCAACAATACAGAGGAACTAATCTACATGCTGAAGGAGCTTAAACAAGAATCTGAAAAAATCGGTTTAAAAATGAATTTAAATAAAACAAAAGTAATGACAAATCAAAATATCACAATCGACTTAGATGGAAGTGAGATCGAAAGTGTCGAAGAGTATATATACCTAGGTCACACCATCAAACTAGGCAAACAGAATCAAACAGCAGAGATAACTAGAAGAATCCGAATGACTTGGGCAGCAGTAGGCAGACTCAGTGATGTGTTGAAGAACAAAAAGATACCAATAAATCTAAAGAAAAGGGTATTCAACAGTTGTATTCTACCGGTTATGACTTATGGAATGGAGACCATGACACTTACAGAGTTGTCAGCCAACAGATTAAGAACAACACAGAGGGCCATCGAACGAGCTATGTTGGGAGTATCACTGAGAGAACATATACGAAACGAGGACATACGAAGCAGGACGAAGGTGGAAGATGTAATTGGAAGAATTGCACAAATGAAATGGAACTGGGTAGGGCACGTGGCACGGCAAAACAACGACAGATGGACGAAAAACATTGTACATTGGAGACCACGCGAACACAGTCGGAGTAGAGGAAGACCACAAAAACGATGGCTAGACGACATCAAAGCAAAAATGGGGAGAAACTGGCACCAAATAGCACAAAACAGGGAAGAGTGGAGAACTCATGGGGAGGCCTTTGTCCAGGAGTGGATGCAAACAGGCTGAAGAAGAAGAAGAAGAAGGGTGCTAAAAAAATTTTTGGGTCTATGTATGTTGCAAGGACAAATAAAAATGCCATCTATAAAAAAACTTTTTACGTATGATCGATTATACTATCATCCTATATTTTCTGCAACAATGAGTGGGCGACGATTCGAACAGATTTTAAGATGTTTTAGTTGTGAGACAGAAAATAGAAACGGTAGGCTACATAAAGTAGAACAGTTACTAAATGGTCTACTTACAAATTTCCAGAGGGCGTTATCTCCTGAAGAAAATATATGTTTGGACGAGTCGTTATTATTATTCAAAGGTAGATTAATTTTTCGACAATATATGAAGAGCAAGAGGCCAAATATGGAATTAAATTCTATGAATTATGTACACCGGATGGCTTTGTCCTAAATATCGAAATTTATAGAGGTAAAGTTTTGACAGCATGTGATCGTGGTCGTGACCCTACTTCTCCACAACTCCATAATTTAGTTCTTCGACTGATTACTCCATATGTAAATAAAGGACACCACATATTCATGGATAATTTTTATAACAGTGTAGGCTTATGCAAAAAATTATTAGAGAGACGAACACATTGCACAGGAACCTTACGTTCTAATAGACGAGACAATCCAAAAGTTGTAACTGGCGCGAACCTAAGAAAAGGACAGTATATATGGAGGAGACAAGACCGTGTTTATGTATCAAAATGGAAGGATAAGAGAGATGTCTGTAGTATATCCACTCGTTACCATCCGACATTGATAGAAACAACCAACAGATTTAACCAGCCCAAAGTAAAACCAAAAGATATAACTGAATATAATCACAATATGTCTGGCGTTGATCGAACTGATCAATTAATTTCATATTACTCATGTCCACGAAGGACCATTCGCTGGTATAAAAAAGTGTTGTTTCATTTGTTGGACGTAACAATTGCCAATGCCTATTTTATTTATCGAAAGGGAAAAGAAGACCGCCAAGAACGATGTATGAGTAGCTTAGATTTTAGAAATCATCTTATAAAAAGTTTTATTGGTGTACCTCTTGACCAGACTGATGGCAGAAGTTATGTAAAAGTGGGTCCTATACATGGAGGTAAACGTAAGAAAATGACTCGGAGGAATGATGAACAAATTAGGCATCCCCATTATCAAGAAATGATTCCTGTACCTGAAGGATATAGACGCAAGAATTATTATTTACGATGTCGTCAATGCTCTAAAAGTAAAATACGAAAAGAAACATTTTGGCGATGTAAAGATTGTAATGAAAATCCACCATTATGTCCAGGATTATGTTTTCAAAAGTGGCACGAGAACTTAGACTAGCAAATAAGTTTTTTTATTTTGTTTTTTACAATTTCTTATACTGTGTGTTGTGTTTGTATTATGTTGTGTATTATTTTATTGAAATACCGTATTTAATTCATTTATTATTTGTAGTTTATGTTCAATAAATGCATTTTGGTAACATTTAATATGACGGTCATGACCGTCTTGTCCAATAAGACCATTTGTATAACTCTAATGGGACAAGACGGCTGTGACCGTCATGTATTTTTTGTCTTCAATATGAAGTATTTTGTACTTTTTTGTCCCCACAGGTTAATTTTTAACCAATGTTATCACAGTACCGATAAATTTGCAAGTGTGTTTTGGTCATTGTCAAACATTTTTACGGTATCCGCCAAAGGGTTAGTGTAGAAATTAATTTAATGTTTTTCTATAATCGTTGAATAAAAAAGAAACAAACAATATCTGAAGCAATAAAAATGAGCTACATCCACGACATCTTGGATTGAAGAGTACATTTCAATCTACAAGAATAATAAATATTGTTCTGAAGCTATTTTCTTGTGGCATTGTAAATTAATTACTATTTATATAAAAAGAGTTGTATAAAAAGAGAAAATAGTACAGATCTTAAGCTTTCTTTTCGGTCTTCTTGGGTAGTAATACTGCTTGTATATTGGGCAATACTCCACCTTGGGCGATGGTAACTCCTGAAAGCAATTTGTTTAATTCCTCGTCATTTCTTATAGCTAACTGTAAGTGTCTAGGAATTATACGGGTCTTCTTGTTATCTCTCGCTGCGTTTCCTGCCAATTCCAAAACTTCAGCAGCTAGATATTCCATTACAGCTGCCAAGTATACAGGAGCTCCGGCACCAACTCTTTCGGCATAATTCCCTTTTCTCAGCAGACGATGAATACGACCTACTGGAAACTGTAAACCAGCACGGTTTGATCGGGACTTTGCTTTTCCCTTAACTTTGCCTCCTTTACCACGTCCAGACATGTTTTAGATTTCTACTTGTAATTTTTATTTTTATCTTTAATTGTGGCTTATTCCCGTTATAAATAGTAAAGAATAATAAAGTTAAAATATATGTAGTAAAAAGTTATAAAATAAGGCGGCTCTTGGTCTGAAACACTACGATCTTTTACAGATCTATTGTGCTTTCCTTTGCCACTTAGCTCATCATGCAGTCTTAAGCATAAATCCACGAGTTCAGTAAAAAATAAGGAGAATGTTAAAAACGAAAATAAAGAACTGATGATAAACATTTGCGCAAATAACGAACTTATATTAAACAACATAGTAGGGGAGCTGGAAGACTTTTTAAGTAGGTACCTGAGGCATTTGAGCAAATGCCAATATTATCGACCTAGAGTTACAACATAATTTAAATTTTGAATGAATTAAATCCATATATGGATGTCACAGCCACAAATTTATTGTTAGCTTCAACTACATAAGGCACAGAGGATGATCTAATTAGATCGAAAACGTTATGGTACTGTATAATTGTTGACGACACTTTTTAAAACTTAACTATATGTTTTTTATACCTAAATACAATTGTGAATGTTTTAACTTCTGTATGTTTTTATATTACAAATGTCTAGTCTTAGTCTACCGGTATAGTATATGCGAGAGTCCTTATATCCTCCGCCTGGGTCTGATGGACAATTTTTTCAAAAATTTTATTAGTTGCCAGACTCTGATATACTATAATAATATATCTTCAGAAGGGATTGTAAATAAGTCAAATCGATTCGGAATTATTTTTAGAATTTCAATTTTTCTTTCGGGAAAAAATATTGAAATAGATCGATATAAAAAATACATCATATTCACTGACACAAGTTCATTAAGAAAAACGATACGGTCCGTTGTCTGCAATACATCATATTTCACAAAAAATCTAAAGAAAATAAAGACTATTAATCAAACTTTTCCTAATATCTTTGCTATTCAGAAAAAATTACCAACAATCTGAGAGCAAGGAACAGGACATTTGTTTTGGAACAGTTTAATACGTTGGGTCGCGTTTATCTAAATAAAATCTTTATTTGGGATATCCGCTCAACTTTAAAATCCGTTCGCTTAAAAATTTGGCTTTTTAACATATAGGATTTTGCCTTATCAGCAAAGATACCTACCGAACAAAGCATCTTAACTGTATGTTTACTACTTAAATAAGGTATATTGTTTAGTTTTGAGATCAGCAAATAAACATATATATATATATATATATATATATATATATATATATATATATATATATACATATATATATATACATATATATATATATATATATACATATATATATATATATTATTATACTTCTTCTTCCACAAACGCGGAAGGAACAAAAATAATTAAGGAATCCATCGGAAGTAAGTTTTTAAGAAATCTGAAGACAAAATATGTATTAATTTTAAGATAGAAAGTTTGTATATTTGTAAATAGATAGATTAGTACCGAAATTTTATGACTTATAAAGAACTAAGCCATTCTAAACGAGTTATTGACAAACCATTTGTACATTATAGAAAATAAGCTGTTACCTGAAGGATTAGTCCGGTATTGTGTTGTATAAATCTTCTATTATGACTAAGGCAAAAATCTTTGAAATGTATAAAAATTATTTGTTTACAAGGAAATGACCATTGTTAAAAGATTAAAGTTCCTTGCTTGAAAACGGTAATTAGCATTCCAACAAGTGTGGTAAACAAATTTGGATTTTGTGATGAGACGATCTTTTTGGAAGGGGAAATCGACAGACCGAGGGTTGATAGAGTTTTTGTTGGTTCGAGAAGACAGTGATGTTTGAGTGATCGAAAAGAAAGGTTGCGTCTCGACAGGCGGTGTGTTCGTGAGTTGGAGGCCGGCATTGTTAAGTGGATAAAGTTACCAGTCTTGTTAGCAGAATTGTGGAAGAAGTAGATTGCAAGTCGATGTAAAGAAATCCTTGAATCTAAAGTGTGCAGTTTCTGGAATACGTGTTAAATAGTTGTGGCACCAGGTGAGAAAAGAGATCCTTGGGTCACGAAGAAGTTATATGAATGTTTGAAGAAGTGATTTTCGTGTGTTAAGTGTTGGAGAATTGAGTCAGGAGGTTAAATTAAGTCAGTTAAATTGGCTGAAGGAGCAGATACTGAAACAAGAAGCCGAGGCGCAAGGTGGAAGAACACATTGCTGTGGAAGGTGGACAATTCTTTGTGTGGTCCTAAAACAATCCAGGGAAGAAAGGTCAGATATTTTCCTTTTTCAAGTTGAAAGGTGTGTAAATCTTAAATGCGATTTGTTTACCTCATTGTTGTTACCAGTTTAAAGCATGATTAGACCTTTTTACATTTATCAAATGTTTTAAAGTTTTGTTTCCATAATAAAATAGATTTTTTAAATATAAGGAAGATAAAAGTTTATAAAGGTATCCAAATTTAAATTAGTTTCAAATTGTTTTGTCTCAAGAAGAAAATAAGAATTAAAATTTTCTTTTTGTATTAATTTCATTACATGCATATTCGCTGATTGAAAAGATAACGGCAAATTTAATAATTGTTTTTTTTTATAAAATAAAAAATATCTGTATTTTATGTATTATACTTTTTATTATTATCCTTTGTTTTTCCTATCCCGATAAATACAACTAGAAAACTTTGAACTCACTGAACATAAGAAATATCAGAAGTTTATTTTTTAGGACATTGATAACGAGAAAGTATATTTTTGTGATTGTTTCAAGTAAATAAATTAAAATCAAAAATACAAAATCATAACAACTGTCGCCCAAACGTGTGAAGCTTAGAAAGTATTTCTAGTTGGAATTTAAAAGGATAGGGAAAGAAAGCAGGTTGATTGAGAATTTATTTCCGATGGTCAAAGTTTATAATAACTGCATTTTATGACATAACATTTCAAATTTCTCTAGGTACAAGTTTTGCATGATATATTTTATTATATTTGATTGATTTTTACAATTGACAAAAGTTTTAAATTTTATTGCATTTATTTAAATTTATTGCATTTGGGATAAGAGAAAAATTTTTTCGTCTTTGCAACATTACTCGAATTTCATATTTGGCGGGGATATTATTGCACAAATTTAAGAGTTTCATATCAGGCGGGGATAAATTTGAACTACATGTCGATCACGAGAAGCAAAAGCAAAGAAAACAAAAAACAAGAAGAACATATAGAACAAGAAGACATTTTTGAAACAACAATCATGGCATCAGAACAACAGGAATTGTCAGGAATAGAGAAAATGTTACAAATAATGATGCAAAAAATGGATAAAGTGGATAAAACAATGGAACAGAATCAAAGAGAAACTCACAAGAGAATGGAAGAAAATCAACGTGAAACGAAACAAGCAATAGAAAAAAACCGACAGGAAACACAACAAGTGATAAAAGAAGTTAAAAGTTGCTTAGAGAATGTTAAAAAAGAAATGGCAGAACAAGAGGTGGAAATTAAAAAAATGAAAAACAAAATGGAAAAGGAATTAGAAGAGTTAGAAACAAAGTTTGAAAACGCTCTGCAAGAAGATAAGGAAGAAATAGAAATAAGATTGAAACGGAATGAAAATTTAATTAAGGAAATAAGACACCAAAATAGAGTCGGAGAAACAAGAGAAATAGTTATCCAGAATTCCGGCGAAATAAAAATACAGTTTGGCGGGGATGTAAGAAAACTACACCCCGTACCGTTCATGAATAATCTAAAGAAGAAGATACAATACATGGGAAATTTTGAGACAGCTAAGGAAGTTATCAGAAATCATCTCAAAGATGAGGCAAGTCTATGGTTTGACAGCAAAGTGGAGGAATTTGAAAATTGGCAAGAATTTGAAAACAAATTTCTGAGTTTTTTCTGGGGAAAGACAGAGCAATTACAGATAAATAAGGAATTGCAAAATGGGAAATACCATGAGAAGATGGGTATATCAGAAAAAACATACGCATTGCAAATGTACAATAACGCAAAACATCTGCAATACAATTATTCATCTGAGCAATTAGTCGAGTTGATTGCAAGACACTTTGAAGACACAATGGAAGACCACATAAATTTACAAAACTACAAAGATATCGATAGTTTATGCCAATTCCTACAAATAAGGGCATCACGGATACAGGAAAGAAGAGCAAGAAGGTCACAAGAGAATTATAGACATCGAGAAACTCAGGAATACAGAGAGAGAGGACAAAATTTTAGGAGGGATTACACTAGACGAGAATTTATTCCCAGGAGGGAAAACGAGAATCGGGAAAATAGAAGAGGAAATGATGATTTCAGAAATCGGCCATGGAATGAAGACAGATATCGAGAAAATCAAAACAGAAATAACACCCGCACATATCCAGAAAACAGAAATTACAATAGACGAAATGAACAGGAATATCGTGGAAACCGAAACGGATATGACAGACCAAAAGAAAATAGAAGAGAGGTAAATCATACACAAATAGAAGAAAATGAGGATGAAAGAAATAGAGATGAGAGAAGAAATACGGAAGAACAACAGTCGGTTTTTCACGAAAGCACCCACTAAAAACAAAAAACCAGGCAGGAATTTTTTGTCACCCGAAGGAATTCATTAAATTGGCAGGAAATAATGAGGAAAGAAGAGGAGTTAATTTAAAATTTGTAGATGGTTTCATTAACAATAGACCAATAAAGATTTTGATAGACACCGGGTCAGAAATAACCTTAATAAACAGAAAATTAATAGAAGAAGTACAGTTGACAAATTTAATATACAAAATACCAAGGGTAAATTTGGTGGGTGCGAATAAACGGATTTTGGCAACGATAAATGAAGGCATACGAGTGATGGTACGACTGGATAAAAAAATGTATGCATTACAATGTGTAATAATGCCAAACATGTCGCATGACATGATTGTAGGAGTGGACGAACTGGCAGAAAAACATGTAGTAATAGATTTCAAAAATAACACGATGAAACTGACTGAAGAAAAGGAAGGAGAACAGGAAAA